GCGTGCACAAGTGTTGACCCTGTGCTGGTATGTAAAAAACAGCAGTTGCACCATGCATGTGCGGTATCGCCACGAACATCAGATCAAGGGCAGTAATTCTTGCACTAGACCTCCTCTGTAAATCTAAAATGGTAGCTTGTAAATGCTTTTAAAGCGTTGCCTATGGATATTAAAAATGTATGCAGTTTGGCACCATAGCACGGGGCATGCGCAGTTTTAAAGCATGTGATGTTTGGTATCTATTTACTCGGTATACCATCATCTTTTATATTTTACCAAATAATTGCCCAATATATTGTGTTTTTGTGAATTAAAAGTAAAAAAGCGTGTTATTTTAAAAAAAATTGTGTTTGAAAAATTGCTGTGCCAGTACTATGTGACATAAAAAATTGAGGGGGCGTGGTCTGCCGAGATCCAAGAAGGTCATGTGATACAGGAGCTCCTGCCAGCCTGAGACCTTGCATCGATATTAGCAGAGGAGCGGGTGAGACAGAGCCATTACATGATGGGAAAGCAGACCGGAAGGTCACCGGCTCCCGTTCCCGCTCTCCGCGCACATAACCCCCAGCAATCCAGACATATTCAGGAGCTGTTCAGCTCTCAGCAGAGGAACAGGCCACATGCAGCATCCCCCTCTCCTCCCCTCCTCCCTCCACTACAGAAACATGTGCTCAGGGTGTACAGAGCACAGACACTGGGGCTGACATTGCATCTGTCCCACAGCATGATCTCTCTTCAGACACTCATACACTTTTTTTAAGAGATCTGCAGGCAGTTGCAGCTGACATTAAAGCTACTTTTACCACAGCCCTCAGTGACCTAAGAGAAGACCTTCATTTGTTAAGTATAAGAATAGAGGAGGTGGAATTCACAAGCAGATCTAATGCTGATGCCATAGTGGAGATCCAGCAGTAGTATCGCTTCTCGGCCTTTTGGCTAAGATCAAGTGTAGTATCTGTTCTTATCAGTGTCCAGTGGGGGTGCTCCCGACCATTCTAGCTTTGCGGGGATGGTTGTTGTATAGTACCCTCACTGGTATGATGGGGGTCCGGAAGGCTGGACCGGAGGGACAGAAACCAGGGGGCGCCACGATACGCTCTGGGACCTTGGGAGTAATTCCTCTGGGAAAGCTGGAAAGACCCAGTACCTCCTGATTTGGACGGATCTACCTTGGTCGGCCTGGGGCTGGGGACGCAAAAAAGTCCGCAAACTCAGTGCCCCCTGGGGAAGACGCTCTCAGGGGTGTCACTAGTAACACTTGGGTGTGGGACCCCACGGTGTGAAGATGACACATGGCCACTGTTTTTCACTTCTTTTTGCACAGCGCCCTAAGGACCAGGTCTTTTGGCTAAGTCCGGGGCAATTTTTGCTACAGGCCTCAGGGCCTGGTCTGTGCACTATTAGGCACGGTACCACTTTTTTATTTTTTTTATTTATTTATTTAATCACTCCCACGTTTTGTCACTTTTTCTGTTCTTATGTGTGTGTTTTTTTCACGGATGGAGGGTGTGGGTCCTCGGGCCTTACCTGAAGTCTAGGGGGAGGATGTGTGGCCATACGGTTCCTTCCTCCCCTGATCCCTAGGGGATTTTCTCTTCGGGAGAACCCCCTTGCCTAGTACTGGATGTCCGGCTTCGGCTGGGCATAAGGAACGGTGGTCCACCAGGCCTTTTGGCCAGGAGGACCAAATGGGAACCTTGTCCCTGTCAGGAGCTTCGTGCCCCGGGGGATCGGGTGAACGGTCCAACCCTTCCGGGGGTAGGACAAACACACACCCCTAAGTGCACTTTTTCGTGTGGTGTTTTGCACTTGCACATTTTTTGTGAACACTTACGGGTTTTTCGTTGTAGTTTGCACGTTTGCGGACTTAAAAAAAAAAAAAAAAAAAGTTGTCAGTATTGCACACATCTCATATCCGTGATTTAGACAGATTGAAGATCTGGATAATAGAGGTCACAGACATAATATCAGATTGCGTGGCTTGCCTGAATCTGTGGAGCCGAGCGATATCCCCAAAACAGTAATTGCGATCTTCAATGATCTGGTGGCCCGTCCACCTGCTGCACCCATTGATCTGGAACGTGCACACAGAGTGCTTCGCTCCAGAGGCAGAGATTCTGACCCCCCAAGAGATGTGGTGTGTTGCTTTCCAATCAAAGAAGACATTCTCAGAAGGGCCAGAGAAAGAAGACGCCTTTTATTTCAGGGTAATGAGATACACCTGTTCCAGAACCTCTCAACCATAACCTTGCAACAAAGGCGAGAACTTCGCCCCCTGCTGGACACACTTCGCTCTCATAACATACCATACAGGTGGCGATTTCCATTCTGTCTCTCCGCTCAAGCTCAGGGGCACACAGCCTACCTGCGAGTTCCAGAGGATCTCCCCAGCTTCTGTTCCGCACTAGACATTCCTCTTGTTGAGCTTCCAGATTGGTACAGATCTCTGCGTCTTCCAAATGCTACTGAATCTGGTCGAGTACCAAGTGACATGGATTGGCAAGGCCCCCATCTCCGCCGCCCCCAATTGTAGATTCCTATTTCTAAAAGGTAATTTTGCCAATAGGCCCATCACTTTAGCAAATCTTTACGCACCCAACACTAGACAAGTATCCTTTTTCCGCTCCATTACCTCTTCACTTTCCTCCTTCCAGACGGGTATCCTAATCTTGGGAGGTGATCTTAACGTTCCCCTATGCCCTTTATTGGACTCTTCCTCGGGAAGCTCTTTCTTGCCATATAAATCCATTAGAAAGATTCACACTCAACTTCAAGATCTGCAACTTCACGACTCTTGGCGAGTCCTCCACCCGAATGTCAAAGACTATACATTTTTCTCCCCTCCACACAACAAATATTCCAGAATCGATTACCTCTTTATTACGCAAGCTGACCTCTCTTTCCTCCATGATTCCTCCATTGAACCGATGATCCTCTCTGATCATTACCCTATCACTATGACATTACAATTTCCGGAGAAACATTCCCGTTCTAAGATATGGCGTTTGGATGCCTCTCTTCTTTCTGACTTTGCCAATGAAGCAGAGGTTCGCTCCAATTAACGGACTACTTTTCGAACAATCAAACTCCAGATGTCTCTTTGTTAACTCAATGGGAGGCACATAAATGCGTCATACGAGGAGTCCTAATAGCTACGGCCACAAAACGTAAAAAAGAGAGACAGACTCGTTTACAACAACTCTTAGATCGCATTAAATTCCTGGAAAAGGCGCACAAACATAATCAGGCCGCCTCGACTTTATCTGATCTTAGGAACACCCACACACAGCTCTTAAACGAACTAGGCAAGGCAGCTAAGCGCAGATTCATTCTGTCGCAAAAACATTTTTAAGAGTTTGCTAACAAAAGCGGGAGATTCTTAGCCAGATCCCTCCAGACAATAAAGTCAAGTTTAACGGTTCACAAGATTAGGGGCTCGGATGGCTCTTTGGCCACCTCAAATGCGGATATAGCATCTCACTTTGAGCAATGCTACAAAACATTATACAATTTCCCTCCAGAACGTCGCCCTTCTGAGGCCAATAAGCCTAGAGACACCCTAATCTCTGACTTTCTTTGCCTCTATAGTCCTTCCACTGTACCTGATGATACTGTTCAGGATTTGGAACATCATATCAAGGCGGAGGAACTCTCCCGAGCCGTCCAGCAAATGAAACCTGGTAAAAGCCCGGGCCCTGATGGTCTTTCTGTGGCATATTACAAGAGTTTCTAGATATTTTGAGTGGACCCTTCCTCTCCGCCTTCAACACTTTCTCTTCACCCTCCACGCAACATCATCGCCTCCTGGAAGCTCATATCACTGTCATCCCCAAAGAAGGTAAAGATGTCACTTTGGTTACCAATTATAGGCCCATCTCTCTTTTGAACGTAGACATCAAAATCTACGCAAAGATCCTAGCCAACCGTCTCCTTCCCTTGTTACCTTCCCTGATTGACCTTGACCAAGTGGGCTTCATCCTGGGAAGGGAAGCAAGGGATAACACCATCAAGGCTCTTAACCTTCTCCACTGACTTCACGATTCTCGCAGTCCAGGATTTATTCTTTCCCTAGATGCCGAGAAGGCTTTTGATAGGGTGTCCTGGGATTACTTAAAGGCATGCCTACAGGCAATTGGTTTAGGGGACACCATGCTCAATTTCATTATGGCACTGTATTCTGGTCCAACGGCTCAGGTCCGTGTTAATGGGCATCTATCTCATCCATTCTCTCTTGGGAATGGTATGCGCCAAGGTTGCCCCCTCTCCCCGCTTCTTTTTGTGATATCACTAGAACCATTGTTACACAAACTCCGCTTAAACCCAGATATCAGGGGTATTTCTGTGGCGAACAAGGAATACAAACTTGCTGCCTACGCAGATGACATTCTTTTGTTTCTGACAGAGCCTCAGATTACCTTGCCCAACCTACTTAAGGATTTTTCCTTCTTTCAATATATCTCGAACCTCAAAATTATTCATTCCAAATCCTATGCCTTAAACATTACTCTTCCTCCAGATCTGGTTTCCTTTTGTCAGTCACAGTTCCCGTTTCAATGGGAAAGGGACTCCCTTACCTATCTGGGAATACAGCTTACGAGTAACCTCTCTGATCTTTATGTCAAAATGCTTTCTTCCAACCCTTGGTGCCATCCGAGCAGACCTAACTAGGTGGCATCACCCATGCTTCTCCTGGTTTGGTAGGGCTGCTATACTAAAAATGAATATCCTCCCACGTCTCCTCTATCTATTTCAAACCTTACCTATCCATTTACCACCTGCCTTTTTTGTTTCATGCAGAAGAATGTGCTCTCTTTTTCTCTGGAATCATAAACGGCCACGTATTTCTTTCTCCCAACTTGTGCTCCCCCAAATCCAAAGGGGGGATTGGACTACCTGACCTGCAACTTTACCATCGGGCCTGCCATCTTACTAGGATAATCGATTGGAATATTCACTTTACCACCAAAGCGTGGGTCCAGCTGGAACACTCTTGTTCCACTTCCCCCTTGGCATCGATCCCGTGGCTTCTGACCAAACACATTCCTCAAGAACTCCTCCTACATCCAATAATCGGTCCTTCCCTTAAAACCTTTCGCTTAACCTGTAAATCGGCCTCCATTTCCAATGTCCCCAACCCGCTAACTTCTCTTCGCCTCAATCCAGACTTCCCTCCCGGTATGCATAAGTCCTTTCCATCAGCACATTGGCCACACAGTCAAGTATTGGCAAACCACTTTTTTCACAAAGGTCAGCTGAAGTCTTGTTCTTTCCTGGCAAGTACTATGGGTGATTGTGACGAATCATCCCTGTGTGATCACATTTTGCCCTTTCTGTTCTGGTTTTCTCCCCTTTGTAAAGGTGGACATGTTTCACAGACATTCTACATTGTTTGTTTAGGGAAATGTGACCTTGTAGTCTTTCACTTCTAATAGAGTTCATACTGTATTGTTAGTCCTAGGGTTTGTTGTGGGTGGGGAAAACCCGGTGCCAGGCTGTCTGGTGGGGGTGGGGTTGAAGCTGTATATACTGAGTTGTGTTTAATAAAGAGTCAGTCATTATTCACCCTACACGAAGTTCCGACTCGTGGTTTTGGGTAGAGCAAAAGGGAGGGTTTTTAGCTATAATATCTGCCTTGGAAGACTGGCTGGAAAAGAGGACCATTGGGTGTGACCTATCGCTTCGCACGAGGAAGCCCAGGCGGAACGGTTCCGCCACAGTGATCTCACCTTTCCCTTTTGGGTCTATCTTCAAATCAGACATTTTCTTCTCTCTCCTGCATATCGCCATAAATGGGTCCGCCCTCTCACCTCCTTTGAGTCACTCTGTTCAAAGGCTGAACCAAAGAGACATTTAGTATCATTTACCTATCTGCTTCTTCTTGGTGACAGAACCTCTGATTCACTTCCCGCCTGCAAAGCTTGGAAAAGAGACTTAAACTTTGACTTTTCTTTCTCTGATTGGGACCAAATCTTTACCTTTTCTCATAAGTGCTCCTTGAATGTTTCAGCACAAGAAAATGGATACAAGTTGGCGACACGTTGGTACAATACACCTTCTAGAATCCATCATTTTGATCCATCCAGACCTAGTAATTGTTGGAGATGTGGGGCTCCTGTTGGATCTCTTCTTCATATCTGGTGGGACTGCCCTATGGTTCAGAACCTTTTGGCAGGAGGTACATCGGATTACTTCTTCGGTGTCTACTCTTGATATTGAGTTCTCTCCGGCCCAACTCCTCCTCCACCATACTCCGCTTCCAAACATCTATATTTCAAATCTCTGGCTATGCACATGCTTAACGCAGCAAAACTCTGCTTACCGGTTCTCTGGGGGTCTGTTTACCCCCCCACAGTGCGAGATTGGTTCATACGTTTGAACAGAATTGCTGAAATGGAAGAGCTGATTGCTTCTTCTCTGGATAACCCTACTAAATTTTCTCATACGTGGTCCTGTTGGATTCACTTCCGAACGACCCCCTGAATATCGTTCTTTCATGGGCCTTGCTGACTGATTCTGAACCTCTCTGATACCCCGTAGTGTTTGTGGTAATATATCGGCTCTCTGTTTTTTTTTAAGGTTGTGATTGAGGTCCTTTGTCTCGATGTCCTGGACTGCTTGGAGCAAGTTATGCTTGGCACCCTGCTACTCCTGCAACTGTCTCCAGCTTGCTTCTCAGCCAGGGTTGCGCGTATCATGTCCCTGGGAGTCTTGAGTAAAGTGACTTACCTACCCTCCTACTCCTCCACACCTCCTCCCCATCCGACCCTTCCCCAACCCCCCATCTCCCTCCTCCCCACCCTCCCCCTTTTTTTTTTTTTTTTTTTTTTTTTTTTCTTCTTCCCTCTCTTCCCTTTGTTTTCATGCTTATTCTTAAATTCTTAATCCCCCATTTCCTTGGTTTCCTACTCAGAGTTTAGCTTTCATTCTCCCCTTTCCATTTTGGTACACTTCTCTACGTATAGGAGCCCTACTCCCTATCTGCAATCCAGCTGAAAATATGTTTTACTTTTGCATATCTCCTCTCCCGAACCCTTTACCCATGTGCTGGCAACCCGTAGTGGGTTACCTCAGTTTCATCAAAAGTAAAAGGCCCTATCCTACAAGCCCTTGCACCCCCCCTCCACACCTACTGTATACATTTCCAATGCATACCTTTGACTCACTGGCCCTGCTCTTTGCTGCTGTTCGGTAACTGAGGTTATATATCATCGACACTGCCAGTGCTGTGATTCCAATATGCTGAATAAGGGCTTGAGACCAGATATGCCTCCTGCATTTGCATGTCCTAATTTTTTTCCCCTGTTCTCTTTTCCCTGGAATGACTTACGTCTGATTCTTTGCCTATGTATTGCTATGTATCTTTTTGTTTGCTGTATGTGTATTACCTCCTATTGTATTTCCGACTGATACCCTGTATTACCTGTACCTATTGTATGCTCTGAGTTTATTAATAAACTTTATGGGAAAAAAAAATAAAAAATTGCAGCACCCACCATTTTATTCACTAGGGTGTCTACTTTAAAAAATATATAATGTTTGGGGTTCAAAGAAATTTCCTAGCAAAAATACTGATTTTTTTTCATGTGAACAAAAAGTGTCAGAAAAGGCTTGGTATTCAGGTGGTTAGAAGACTGAATGTGTGTGGCATAAACTTCTAATGCTGGGCATAAAATCCCCCCACCCCCCAAAACCAACCCTTTTTGGAAAGTAGACACCCCAAATTATTTGCTGAGAGGCATGTTGAGTAAATATAAATTTTTTTTTTTTTTTACACAAAAGTGTCAATTAAATGATTTATTGCTCACACATGCCATGGGTATATGTGGAACTACTCCCCAAAATACATTCTGCTACTTCTCCCGAGTGTGGGGGTACCACATCTGAGAGAATTTTTGGCAGTCTGGCCAAGTACAGGACCCCAAAATCCAATAAGCACCTTCAGGCTCTTAAAGGACTTTATTTCCTCATTACTTCCTGACTACCTATCACAGTTTCGGAGGCCCTGAAATACGAGGATAGCAACACCCCCCCAAATGACCCCTATTTGGAAAGTAGATACCTCAAGGAATTTGATAAAAAGCATGGTGAGTATTTTGCAGATCTTGTTTGTTGCCACAAGTTTTTGGAAAATGAAGAAAGAAAACAAAAACATATTTTTTTCTTTTCTTTTTTTATATTTCCAAACCTTGTGAGAAAAATTAGATCTGACAAATACTCACCATGCCTCTTTTTAAATTCCTTGGGGTGTCTAATTTCCAAAAAGGGGTCATTTGGGGGGGTTTGGTGCTATCTTGGCTTTTAGGGCCTCCGAAACTGTGATAGGTAGTGAGGAAGTGAAATGAGGAAGTTATGCGCACCTTCAGGCTTTCAAAGTGGTCAATGGATTTCAGGCTCCTGTATGTGGCTAGGCTCCCAAAAAGTCTCAAACATGTGGTATCCCCATGCTCAGTAGAATTAGCAGAATGTATTTTGGGGTGTAATTCCACATATACCCATGGCTTGTGTGAGAAGTATATCATTTCAATGACAACTTTGTGTCATTTTCCAAAAATTTGTGTAAAAAAATAAATCTTCCATGGACTGAATATGCCTCTCAGTAGATAGCAGAGGGGTGTCTACTTTCCAAAAAGGGGTAATTTGGGGGTGTCTGTACTGTCCTGGTATTTTAGCACCTCAAGAAATTAATGGGCAGTCAGAAAGTAAAAGCTGTGTAAATTCTATTATCTATACCATAGTTTGTAGACACTATAACTTTCACACACAAAGAAATCAAAATACACTTATTGGGATTTTTTTAACCAAAAACATATTGCAGAATACATTTTAGCCTAAATTAATGATGAAATTTGAGTTCTTTGGATATTTTTTGTGACCGAAATGAGAAATTATCCTTTTTTAAAAAAATTTATTTTTTCAAACCTTTTTTTGTTTATAGCGCCAGAAATAAAAAGCCCACAGGTGATCAAATACCAAAAGAAAGCTCTGTTTATGTGAAAAAAGGACGTAAATTTAATTTGGGTACAGCATTGCATGACCGTGCAATCAGTTGAAACAGTGCAGCACCGAATAGCAAAAAGAGGCCTGCTCATTAAGGGGGGTAAATACTCAGGATGGCAAGTTGTTAAACCCTTCTTGCATGACCACGCAATTGTCAGTTAAACTAGTGCAGCGCTGTATAGCAAAAAAATGGCATAAATTGCAGTATCTATACCATAGTTTGTAGACGCTATAACTTTCACACAAAGAGATCAATACACTTATTGGGGTTTTTTTTTACCAAAAACATGTAGTAGAATACATTTTGGCCTAAATTTATAACTAACTTTGAGTTTACTATATATTTTTTTATAGCCGAAAGTAAAAAAATTGTTTTCCTTCAAAATTTTTGGTCTTTTTTTGTTTATAGCGCGAAAAAAAAAAAAGCGCACAGGTGATCAAATACCACTGAAAGAAAGCTCTATTTGTGTGAAATAAAGGACGTAAATTTCGTTTGGGTGCAGCATTGCATGACCGCGCAATTATCAGTTGAAATAGTGTAGTGCCGAATAGCAAAAAGAGGCCTGGTCATTAAGGGGGGTAAATCCTCAGGATGGCAAGTTGTTAAACCCTTCTCTTTTCCACTATGCAACTGACCACCTCTATGACAGAATCTCTCCCCTGTCCTGCCCTCTGCTGCCTACAACAGTCCGCTTTGATCCACACTAGACTCACTTGCTCCTCTAACTACACAAAGTATCAGGCCCCAACCATCGCAACCGTGGCAGACTGACAACACCAGAGATCTTAAGAGACATAGTCGTGCACTGGAGCAATTGTGGTGTAAAACCAAATCCCAGCAAGCATTCACCCTATATAAATCTGCTTTCTTAACATACAATTCCTCCCTCCATGCTGCCAAACAAGCCTACTTGTCACTCTTATTAATACCTTGTCATCCAGTCTTCGTCATCTCTTTTAACTCTACTTTCTCCACCTCCACCCAGTAACTCACTCACTGCTTACGAGATTGCAAATCATTTAAAAAACAAGATTGATGCAATTCATAGGGGCATCTTCTCTACACAGACATCTATCCCACTTAGCATACTTTATACTAAACCTCCCTCAACACTTTCCTCTTTTGACCTTGCAACTACTGAAGAGGTCACTAAAGTTTTCTCAGAAACCCATCTTGATATCTGCCTTCCCCGGTGCAAAGTAATCTGTATTTTTAAGTGGCATTAACTGTGAGTTAAAAACCCAACCCCTTTGTCTGTGTAACATCTGCCAAACTTTTAAAACAATAGAAGTGTATGTACTTGTGTTAACATCTAGTCCACGGTGAGGTGTAGGTAACCATATAATTCTGTTCAGATTGGACCCGCTCAGTATATTTTCAATTTTGACCCAACTTTTCCCCGGGTTATGAGTCCAGTCAAAGATTCTCGCGATCAAGGTCGCTTTATAATATCTCTTAAAATCTGGGAGCCCTAAGCCTCCTCTCTCTTTAATTCTAGTCAGCGTTTCATAGCATATCCTCGGTTTTTTTTTCCTCCATATATATCCCAAGAGCATTTTCCTTAGTGTCCTAAAAAAAACATCTGGAAGTTTAATTGGGATCATTTGAAACTTGTATAGGACTTTGGGCAAAATTATCATTTTTATCAGATTTATACGGCCCATCCAAGATGGATTTCCAGTTCCCAACCTCTTCAATTCCTCTTTTATCTCATTTAAAAGTGAGATGTAATTAATCTTATACATATTATTAGTTGAGGCAGACAATTTTACCCCTAGGTACTTTAGTTCTTT